AATAATTTAAAGATTATATTATTAAATGCACAAATATTTATTTAATGAATTGATAGTTTTTGAGTTTGACACTATTTACCAAAATGGGATACATATTTGGTTTTGTTATGAACCCAAACTAGGTAAAAATACCGATTCCAAACCCAAACTAAGTGAAACGCCGTAACTAAAAGAGTTTGGGTCGCAACCCTAGTATATACATATCAATATAAGTTTTGCTATGAAAAGATCTATTTTTTTTAATTTAAAAAAAATCCAGAATTGGCATAATTAAAAATAGATATGATTATTATTTTGTTTTGTCACATTCAAATAATTGACAAACATTCTGTTCATATATGTAAAACCAAGATTGTTATGAAATTATAATTTTAATATTATAATTTAGAAGATTAAACAAGTATATAAAACCAAAGTTCTTCCATAACTAATAAAATGAATCTACTGTGCTCAAATGCGAAAAAAAACGACTTAGAAAATACTGGTAATTACGCATAAATTCCATCATATACTCCTGAAAAAAAGGAATATATAATGATCTTTCGTAGATAAGTTACAACATGACCAACTAATTTTTTGTACAATAAAGAAGAATACATCAAATAGAATCCACCATATAACATTAGACTATTGGATTCAACTCAATAATGAAATCCATAACTGTGATTGTGATAACCGCCAGACCTTTGTCTCGGAAATTCTCTTGAATTAAACCCACCAAAACTTGAAAACCCACCCCTTGGTCCATTGGTACCCATACCAGGAAAGCCCTCATTATTCATAAACATTTGGAAGAATAAATTAGGATCGACAGAGTCAAAGTCCATTCCACAATTAGGACCATCAAGATCTGCACCAGAATCATATCGCTGTTTTTTGACGGGGTCACTAAGAATAGCGTAAGCTTCTCCAATCTCTTTGAATTTAACTTCGGCCTCAGAATCTCCACAATTCTTATCTGGATGATGTTGAAGTGCTGCTTTTCGGTAAGCTTTTTTGATTTCATTTTCAGATGCATCTTTTGGAATCCCGAGGATTTTATAATAATCTTTACGAGATGCTTTTTTCAATTCTAGTTCGGCGTTACGTAATTCCCTACGAGTTTCCTGATTGGTACTATCGATTTCTAAAGCCGCCTTTAGATCTTGTACAGCTTCAGCATATTTTTCTAGTTTCATATATGCATCAGCTCGTCGTTTTAAAACCTTAACAAAAGTTGGATCTAACTCTAGCGCCTTATCCATATCTTTTATCGCTTCTACAAGTTTTCCCTGTTTTACTAGTACAGCAGATCGGTTCGAATAGAGTTTGGAATTTGTGTTTTTATTCTCCGGATCAATATCAAGTGCAGAAGTGTAAATATTATATGCTGTGATGAAATCTTCCCTTTTGAAAGCTTCGTTACCAGCATTTTTTTGTGTTTCGATTGATCGTGCTTTCTTTGAGATAAAAGATATAGAATGAATAGAATGTATAAATGGAAATGATTAAAAATAACAATAATAATAATAATAATAATAATAATAATAATAATAATAATAACGACATAATCAAAAAATTGGACGTTACCCTTAATAAAATGCGTGCTTTTGTATGATCGGGATCACATCGTAATGCTTCCTGACAATGTGCGGCGGTCTTTTGATTATCACCTTCTATATATAATATACGAGCTCTTAAAACATGTGCGTCGGGATTTTGCTGATCTCCACGTAGTATCTCACTGAGAAACAAAGAGTTTAAATAAACGGATTTATTCATTCGAATTATTATGAGATTTATTCCATGTAATCAGTATTCCTCTATTTAATGTGGATTGAATTGACAAATTTCCTACTAAGGTCATTATAATGAAACATAATTTAAATTTCTTACTTTGCTATCCTGCTTGCTTCGGCATATTCTTTTTGTTCCAGTAACGTTTCACCTTTCATTATTTTCAATTTTGTAGGAACTTCATCCAAATAAGAAGACGCTCTATCAATTAGTTGTGCAGCCTGAGGAAATTGTCTATTTTGTAAGTATAATCCAGCCCGGTTAATGTACTCTTGCACTTGTTGCAATTGATGATATTCCATTTTTGCTTGCTGATTGTTAGGTTCAGCATTTAAAATATTGGTGTACCACCGCTCTGCCTCTGTGAGATTACCAAGTGAAAAATTACATTTTGCACCACGGAGAAGTGCTTTGATCGATGTTGAATCTAAATTTAATGCTCTTTGACAGTCATCAAGTGCATCCTTTGGTCTTTTCAGCATCATCAAAGCAGCGGCACGGTTTGTGTAGAATGTAGGTGACGTTGGATCTAGCGCTATTAAAAATGATGATAATACGTTGTTAATGTTAAATAAAAAAAAGATTTCTTTAAACATATTACTTGTTAACCAAATACATTACCAATTGCACGACTATACAACTTAATGGCATTTTCATAGTTTTTAACTTTATACAGTTCATTTGCCTTCACTTTGATCTCGTCGGCTGAGAGGTTCCTTAATTTTAAGAAAATAAGGAAATTGGAAATATAGAATTAGGTTGAAAGGAAATATAAAATTGGATAATGAGAATATCAAATTTCAAGAATTGACATATTATACATTTCTCTGACACAGGTATGTACATATTAAAAATAAATTTACTAGCTATGATATCATATTATATTAGATTAAGAAAAAAGTACTCGTATATCGTAATGGCTCTTTGTCTCTTGTAAATAGCTGCGTATATCATTTCGTGAGGTAATTAAGTTTTTTCGGTTGACTAAGGCACTATAGCTTTTTTTATGAGCTTTCCAGAAGGTGACTATTACATTAATCTGTCCAAAGTCTTCTGCATCGATCGCATTTTTTTCCTTCTACTAACATAAGGAAACTAAAGCACTCACATTTCTTCGATACTCTCCGCTCCGAATCCGTTATGCATACTAACCAGTCTTAACAATAATCACGAAATGTTAATTTCTTGAGAGATAGGACAAAAAAAGGAAAAAATTACAGCAGCTTGACGAGCAAGAATATTCTATATAATAATAAAGTATATTATAAATATCTTTTCTCTTTGACACATAAAGTATCGAGACCCCTTTTTGGAATGAGTCGAACACATCATACAAATAACAAGGTTTGAAGTGCACACAGATCGAATCGCATAGAAGGTAAAAGAACAATTTAGCATGCGACCACGGGTTCATGGACATGTGATATACACACCTATCACTGCGCCAAGTCTACAGACAGTGCTCATGGAATCATATGGGCTGCTGTCAATATTTTAAAAAAAATTAATACCTTAACTTTCACAGCTCGTATCTCGATGAATTTTAGACCTATCTTGATTATTTAATAGTCGAAAGAAAGCTTACGATCTAAGCTTTCTTCTGAATATTAAATCATCAAGATAGCTTCAAAATTCATTGAGATACGAAC